TCTTTTTCTTTGCTTTTTCTTCTTTTACACCATCGTCATGGTGAAAACAAACATAAAAAAAAAGTCATAGAAATAATAAATAATAATAAATTCGAACAGTATACTCTTGTTTTATTTATAATTATTCAGCAGTTGAACTGCCTTACATCATTTCTGTGTTCAGACATGGAATACACAGAAAAGGCTGACATAGATGAATCATAGCACAGAGATTGGCCATCGTGTCTGAGAAATGAACCCTGACGTCGGTAAAAGATTTGCTCATAACTTGATAAGATCTCACCCTTTAAATGGGAGTTTTCTATCTACATGTTGTTGATTATGTCACGGCGATGGGTGTACAGTAAATGGCTTTAACTTAAGTGGTGGGCTTGCTGGGCAACAGTTTAATCTCTTACTCTTACAGTTTTCACTTCATACATAATTTTTCATCAAAATTTAAAAAATCATCTTCTTGCAAACAATGTAACTATCTAAGCAGACGGACTTATACATTTTGTGCTATGAGTTTCAAATTGACAGGAGAGCCATCCAACTGCCCAACTGACTCCTATGTTAACTGGGATCAGGAATTGTAGGATTAAAACAGAAATAGACTGTTTTTTAACACTGGACGCATATTTTACAGCAGTGGATTCAGCAGAGACCACTCTCTTTCACTATATAAAAATTTGAGCGATAGGAATTACGCTCTGTGAGAAATATAGAGTTTGAGTAGTGCCTCTTAGCTTAATCTCCATTAAATGAACTGTTTGACCCAGGAGTCACTCAGCAGTTACCGCCACTATTGCAACCTTTAATTACACACAGCCAATTAAGGGCTGCATATTAGACTTCATCTCTGATCTCTCTGGTGTCGCAGTAGTTTTATTACAGAAACACAGGTGTTATTTACAAAAAATTGAACATATATTAGTGTAAATGCTATTCAGCTCCTTTCATCGCTCCCTGCCTCCCATGTGAATCTCTAGTGAGTGACCGATCTGTCACCTTTATCTCACAGAAGGCTTTACTGCAGCATAACACAGGTGTTAGTATAACAATAACGAACATAGACCCCCCCCCCCCCCCCCCCCCCCCCGAAAACTTCCTCATGCTGCCTTTAGTTTTCGGCATGGCAGCATAATTTGCCCAGTGCTTTATTGGCGGCTTAGACCTCAGCGTTTTACCTTATTCTAACAAGACACGCTCAGATTCTTTTCTGCTGTACACTCTAATCTCCAGTTTAAGAGTCGCTTACACCAAAACACTCATTTCAACAACTGTCTCATTGGCTTACTACTACATTGTTGCACCCTTTTCTTTTCCTTTTCATGCTGTTTCAAGCTTTTCTTTACTCCTTCAGCTGGCCCTCATTCATATAAAGTTACAAAGCAGCAGATGGCAGGGGCCCTAACTCCCAGCGGTTCATCAAGCATAAAGTCTGAGGTTTAAGCCAGACAGCAATCCCTTCCTCAATTTTCAGAAAACTCACATTTTTTCTCTTATTGTTGGGATACGTATACATACATACATATATATTATATTAGGGCTGTCCCCTAATATAATACTCAACCGTTGAGAAGAACGGTTTAGTCGACCCACTTTTCTTTAGTCTGTAGCGAGTTGATTTGTAGTTAACATTGTACATTATCCATCGTGTTGATAAATCCCCATGAATTTGTGAAGGTGGAAGTTACTTGTTCTGTGTTTTGAACAACACAATTTGTGCCATGTTATATTGTGCTGAAATAAATGTGCTGGTTGACACATTCAGATTCATTATTGTTTTTGCCAAAATCATATCACAGGTGCCTGTTAAAAATATAAATAATTCAATTATTATCATAAACGTTTGATGACTACTGAAGTCTTGATCTAAAAATTACTAGTCGATTAGAAAAAACTTTAGTTGGGGAAAGCTTGAATATATATGTGTGTATATATATACATGTAAAACTTGGGTATAAGTCTTCAGCACATTTACACCACAAGTGTTAAGTGTTTCATTAATAGCTATATGGCACTTCTACTCATGCTGCGTTGATGCCATCTGTGATAAGGAGCAGTATTATTCCCACACCCTGTCACACAGCAGTGCTGCATTTTGATTTAGCCTATTAAAAGACATTTCAGAAATAAAGTGGAAATTACCACTTTAAAAAGAAACACTCCTGGGGTCTAACAGCCATAGAGTTTGCAGTTAATGCATAAAGAAGTATTCAGATACTCTTTACCTAAGTAAAGTAACAATATTACAATAGATCATTTCCACAGCATACTTTTTTACTTGACATAGTAAGAAGGGAACAGGTGTTGCTATAAACATTAATGAAAATAACAGGACCTGAAAACTGAAGCAGCTAAATGGAATTCAGCCATCATTAATTTTAATATTTTCCTACTGTGAGTTTTCAACGAGTAAAAAGGCCTTTGTTAAAAAAGAAACAACTCCATTACAAGTAAATGTTGCTTTATGTGTTTGAGGTTCTGGTGCTCTACTGACTGGCTGGGGCTCAGATGGAAATGTGGGATCACATTCTTCTGAGCACCAATCAGGATTTATTTGAATCAAAATCTGATGACAGTTGGTGAGATGACAGTGACTGGCTGCTGTCAATCGAATCTAGCAGTAAAATAACAAGATTTACTCAAACACAGTACTTAAGTATGATTTTGAGGTGCTTGTACTTTTCTTGAGCGTTCCCATTTCATGCTACGTCTACTCCACTACGGTTCAGAGGGAAATTTAATACTTTTAACACACAAGTGTTACTCTGATTGACTAAAATCCTAAATTAATTTAGAGATTAGTATTTTCAATTAAATTAAATTAAATTAAATATGTGATAAATGTATAAAATACAACACATTGTTTAGATTAAACCATTGGTGTCCAACATTTCTTGGCTTGTGATCCCTTGAAAGCTTGTCAAGGTTTCAGATGTGCTGTTAGTAGTTCCACCAAACAGATTTCTAACTTCTAAACTTGGTTTAATTTGGTTGTAGTTAAAACTAGCTCCCCCTCGATCAGCCAGTAAAGTTCTGTTTACACACTGATGCATCACTAATCAGTCAGTATCAGTAACAATCTTAGTTAAGTAACTTGCATTGGAGTAGTTTTACCTTGATTGGTACTTCCACTTAAGTAAAGGATTGGAGTTCTTCTTCCACCACTGGACAAATCATGATCAAACCACTCCCACACTGTCCTGATAAAGCAGATTAGAGTTTTTGGGGTGTAAATATTCAATGTTATGAGCAGATTTGAGCATTAAGCATATAAAACATATACAATGTTTAGATTATTTTAATTTTTGTGACCATGCTGTTTCACACACCACAAATGGCATAACCGCAAGAACTCAGTTATAAATTATACACAGAATGACTCAATATTCAGTGCTGTAGCTCCACATGAAACACTTGATCAACTGTTATCAATATGCTATACACCCAGTCTTTGTTCTTTCCCATTCATCCACACACTCACTGAACCCATACAGACATAAAGAGCTCAAACGGCTGAGCCCGTATTCAACACATTCACTGTTCGAGCTGGATGAATCACTTAAACAAGACAGAACACAGGTGATTCTTTAAAAGGAAACAAAAGTGTGCTGTCTGAGGTATTTTATAAGTAACTGCATCGGAGAAGAAACATGAGAAATTACTGTTAAAATAGCAGCAGCCACACCACTTCAATCTTGACATTTAGTGAACATTTAACTTGATAAGCAGGGGCTTTGAGTAAATATGAGATAAGAGGCATGAAAAGCATCGCTGAAGCCTATTCAAGCAGATAAAAACAAGCCCTCTTTCATCTTCATGTATTGCCGCGCTGATTGGATTTGAGGGACTGGAAACTATTGGGCAGAATAAATGACAGACGTGTTTTATTTCTCGGCTATCTGCTTTGAGGCTGGTCTTTGTAGGCTGGCACTCTGCTGGCATTAGAGTGCACTCGCGGCCCACTGTGCAGTTGCCGTCAGCTCTGCAAACATGTAAAAGCAGCCAGTGTGACGGGGAGGGGCGTGAGAACTGAATGCTGATCGTCTCATTCACAGTCGAGACACACGCCAGCCACACTGACACATTTCATCACTTGTACTATTTATTAACTTTTTATCTCTGCAGCCCACTACTTCAAAAAATAATTACTCTACTCATCGCAGAGTACTCTTCCAAAGGTATGGGGGAAAGTTATTTTGCAGGATGACCTCTTTATGACATTAGTGTCATTAGCTTTGTGTGTATATCATAGACTATCTTTGGGAGATGTGTTAAAGTCTGCAAGTACTGCACAATAATTTATAATGGACTGTGACCAAAATATTAGCATCAGATATATTTCTTCTATAATTTGATTTAAAACATAGGTACTGAATGCATACAACGTGGTCTTTCAAGAGGGCTTCATTAAACAAAAATACAATAAATACATTGCGGTTTCTTTTATTAACCTTGGCTTACAGTACTGTATATCTTTTGGAAATCACTCTCAATTGTCAGAATAATGTGGATGTGTGACATGCAACCATCACTTCTTCTACAACTACACCTTTCAAACGGAATATGTTTTTTTTTACCAGTTGCAACAAAGACAATGACTTCAATGACATTCGTCAACTTTTCTGAATGTCAAAATTAAGAGCAACGCAGTCTATGGCAGCTTTTCTTTTGATTGTTTTTTTTTTTTCACCTCAGTTTACTGTCTTTTTCAACACATGATAAATAAACAAGGCAAAAAAATGAAACAACAAAAAAATATATAAACAGCATTTTAAGATTTAAGACACCAAAGGGCACTCCAAGGCAGAGCTGCTGTGAGACCCACAGACTTGGTAGTTTTCATAAAGAAACAGCAGAGCACTTGGATCACACTGAAGCTGAGAAACAGACAGATGCAGGAGACAGATTAATGGTGAGACAAAGGATGTGCGAGAGAGAGAGTCAAAGGAAACGTTTGAACTAGTCCGTGAGGGATCTCTCTCTGGCTCCTCTCCCTTAAGACCAAAGCCTCACCAACGGGCCACTTGGCTTGTGTAGTCCTCAGTGGTGGTTGGAAAGTCACCATCAGTACCTTTCTCCAACCCTCCTCCCCTTCTCCCGCCTCTATTTCCGACCCCTCTGTGTTTGGGCACCCATGGCCTGCCCTGCTCTTTTTGCTCCCTCAGCCATCGCCTCTCCTCACGCCTCTTCAAGCGCACCTCCTGGTGCTCCCTCTGGCGGGTGAACTGGAAACGCTGGAGGAACAGGTCCTTTGCGTACTCATACAACTGCACATCCAAGAAGTTGAGCTCCTCGATGCGTTTGCGCACAAGCTCGCTCAGGTCCACATTGGCGGCTCGCGTGCTGTTGATCTGCGTGAAAGCGGAGATGAAGCGCAGGCTGAACGTCCGCTCAAACAGGTACTGCGTCTTGCGTTGAAACTCGGTCAGGCCGTAGAAAGCCATGTTCTTCAGGTTGCTCATGGCGCTGCTAAGAAGGATGTGGTTTCGCTGGCTCTCGTTCATAGAAGACAGGTTATAGCAGCCCACCAGGCTCAGGTCCGCCAGCATGCGGACCTGACGGTTATTGGCCAGGTTGGATGGGCAGTTCATGAACTCTGTCAGGGTGACACCGGACCAGTCATCCCCATTGTAACAGGTGGGAAGCTCGTCCTGGGTGGGCGAACGTCCATCGCACATATGGAGGGCGGTCTTCCATGTGGCTCCGCGCTGAACGTGCTTCCACTCACTCAGGTAGCGGGAGACTGGGTCACGCAGCATGGTGATGTAGTAGAAGTTCCTGCAGCCAAAACAAACACAGTTAGAGAGCTGTGAGCACATCATCATCACAGAGGGCTGCCCTGCATTGTACTGACAGATGGCGACTTTTGTCTGTGTATGAAACTTCAAGGTTGAATGCTAATTGGCAAACTGAAAGCCTCACTAATGAGATTATTATATATATTGCCCTTGAAAATTGAACCCTTGCATCAGTGTAATGATTTAGCAAAATTGAGCTAGAACGTTTTCTGTTCCACGGATTTCTTCCACCTGCCAACATGGAGAATAATTGGGAATCAAGAAATAATGGTAATCCACGGACATACAGAAAGTAAGTAACACTGACCCAACTAAATCCCAAACATGCCACTGTTACAAAATAATGAGGTTTCAATTTTTGTGCCTCAAATCTGTCGCACGTTCAACTGGGTATCCTACCCATCATTTGTCACCCAATCACAGCAGGTCATTACAGGAGAAAACACATTCGGCTAGCATTTTGGTGGTGAAGAACTGGTATATGAGCGCTATTCTTTTTCATACAAACCATCGCCTCACCCCAGAGACGACTATGTCCTCAATCGTTGCAAAAGGACGGTCACTGAACAGGAGGAGAAACGAGCAAGCTTAACATAGATGCATTGATTTTCTGCACTGTTAACAAAGAGGCTTTCAAAGAGAGGTGTCTCAGGAAGCAAGACAGACAGTTTGTGCCCTAAAATTAATAGCAATATTAGTAAAAATCTATAATAACTGCATGGCTACAAATCAAATCATGTCTGATTCTTAAGTTGATATTTAGCTTGAGAACCCACACAGGAGGGTTAAACATGCCCTTCATGCCAAGGTTGAAGACCTCCAAGGAGATCTACTCTACTGAACCGCAGATACGTCAAAGCACATTCTGATGGAAAACAAAGATTGGACAGGTGTTGGTCAGGTAAACCTCTCCTAAGGTGATGTCTTGTGAGTGCCAGGTGAATATTTAATGATGCAACCCCCTCCCAAGAGAACAGTCCGGGCAGCTAAAGCCGAGTGCAGCTCTGAGAATTCACGCAGACTCCAAAGCTGCTCTCAGTGCTGCCTCAGTTCTTTTAACACAGCAAACATCCACACAGTCTTGCCCAGGAGTGGAAATAAAAGAGCTACAGAAACAGTCTCCTGTGCTTATACTTCCTTGTCCTTCATGGTTGGATTCAATGCAGCTGATAGGCCAAAAGAAAATCTCTGAAATTGTACACGCACTGGAATATAATCTTTTTTAAAAGGAGAATATACTATTTGTTTAGATTTTTGTATTTGTTTTTTAACATATTAAATTTTTGTCCTCTTATTACATCACAAGCATTATCAGAGTCTGAGACTCCTTCTCTATGTGGCTGTGATGAGGATGGAGGGCACTGTTAGTTAGTCAATTAATCAACATGTTGCCAACCTTTTTGATAATGGATTTTATTATTTTTTTAAACAAAAACACTAAACATTATTTTGTTCTAAATTCTCCAATATGAAGATTGGCTATTTATTTTATTGTATTACCTAAATATCTTTAAGTTTTAGACTATTGGTCAGACAAAACAAGACATTAGAAGATGTCAGCTTGGACTTTGGGCAGATTAAAGTTTTTATTTTATTTTTTACTGTTTTTTAGATAAAATTATTAATTGGTTAATCAAAAATATAATCAACGGATGAATTTCTAATGAAAACATCTAGTTAGTTGCATGCCTAGCCAGTCTTATACTATACTTCCAGAAGAGAGCATCATAAAAATGAAGCATGGTCTATTTTTGTTTTATGTTTGCAACGTCAAGTGTAGACAGGCTGTCAAATGTAAACAAGGACGCTTCTTCCCTGTAGGAATCATTCTGTAAATAAAGTGTGTTGTAAATTGCAAAGAACGTGCTCTCATACCAATAATTTGTACAATAGGAAAAGCAATTTTCTAAATTCTGAAAACTAAGCTAAACAGGAAGAAGTGTAATAAGGTTCAATTCCAAACCTGTGAGCTCTTGTACTGTGCATTAAGGTTTTATTTGTGGCTTACATTTAGCTTATTTAACCTATTTGTCCAACCTCAATCAAACTTCAACCCTGGTTGAGTACACTGAGAGAATATTCATGGTATGAAGCAAATTCTTCTGAAGATATCACATTTGAGATGAGTACACACTGAGAAACAAAAAAAATATTCAAGTGAACAAATAACAACATTATCTGACTGAAGAAACCCCAAGATTGCCAAAAATATGTCTAGTTTATCTGTGGAAGATTTGTCCTAACTGTGCCATAGGAATGCCACCACTGACAACGTTATCCAATATGAGTCAGCCAAGAGGCTGTGATTACAGCCCTGGTGGCAGCAGCTGCATCCTGGCACTTGCTCCTTGAGTTGGCTGGCTGCGGATACATCCTCATTAGACTGTCTCTGGGACATAAACACATGCAGCAAGTGTTGTTTGAGTGCACTCGACAGCCCAAAGGTCAGTTGTGTGCACCATCAGTGTCAAAATGCATCAGGATCAACGGGTGTGCAGAGCTGTCTCGAGGAGGCTTTCCTTGAGTGATACAGATGGCTGTCGAGAGAGGAGGGGGTAGGCTAACAGGCTTCTCTTACCTCTGGCCTGTGTTATCATCAGTACCACCCCTACAGTCATTTCACACTGACTATCAAAAGCACTGTTAAAAGTTTACACTGTGATGCTTCTTTCCAGTAGATGGTTGTAATTAAAGAAACTGTAGGAAGCAGCTGTCATTTTAATAATATACAGTCTTGCAAAGTTGTGCTAAAGCTACATCTCTTTGCCAAGGTTTCCCAGCCTGTTTTAGGGTGTTGGATTCAAGGATGAAATCTCCAGTCAGACACCGGGAGGGGGAGTAATTATAAGAACAATAAATATATATATACATGTCCATATTGTATATATTGGGGGGACCCATACCCCGCAGCGATTACGTGCCTGGTTGGAGTCAAGAACTGTGTTGAACTCTAGTTAATCATGGATCAATAATGGATAGGAGGCATATTGCAACTCATTCTGCCCCAGAATACTCATCTCTAAAGCAGCAGCACCAGCAGCCCGACTTCAGTGGAGCACAAACTAAATAGGTGCCATTAAGCTGAGATGGAAGAGGAATTCAAAAGTATGGAAAAAAAGGGAAACTAAAGCAAGTAACCAGATGGGAGCTACGGACAGGCATACTGAAGCTTAGTGTATAGATGTAATTAATGGATATGGAAATTGTGTAATAAATACAGTGTGCATGAAAACTATAGAATGTGTGACTGATGCATTTTAAAGATGTATTACAGCAATTTGAGACAATGGCTGGGAAAGAAAGTTAAAAAAAAAAATTAGCTCTGTCAGTATACTAAAAAGACTAAAAGGAGGAGCTAAACACAGCTACATCCTCACTAACTACATATGGTAATGAAACAGTTCCAGGATCACGAGGAGACGTTAAAAATACATTTTTTGGAATAACATTTTACTGTGTCTTTGTTAAGTTTAATTAACAGAATTCAAAAGTCATAGTTTGATTGCCTTTACATGGCGCTTTACAAATTGCATAATTTCCTGTTTAAAAACAGTAGGCTAGTATATTGATTACCTGTATACTAACTGCCGAAAGAGTATACTACTAAGAATGACATATGTAATGTATACAGTTACCTATGTAGTGTATATGTAACTCAGTGTCAGGTATTTGGAACCAACCTGTGCTAGACTAAAAGTCGGTGAATCAAAAGCTAATTATTCTGGGGGAAAATTAATGTATGCACAAAATGTAATGGCAATCCTTTGTTGTCAAGCCATTTCCCTAAAAAACTCAAATGTCATTGTCATTGGAGGAAAAGTCATTATACAATTCAACTTCTGGGGAATATTTGTAACAGTTTCATGACAATCCATCAAATAGTTGTTAGATATTTCAGTCTGGACCAAAGTGGTGGACAGATCAATGGCCTATGCAACCAAACGACTAAAAAACGGCTAAAAAAATAACCAGCTTCCTAAATATTGTCGCAGCCCTACAAAGGAACAGTTTTATCCACAGCCAATGTGCAACAGACTACTGGCTTTTAATTTCACGTAATTAGCCTCAATGACACAATTTCAGCCCACTGCTTCTCCCTGATTGCAGGCTGCTAAAAGGGACATTGTACTTTCAGCCTGAGCACATGGTGCTTGGAAGTGGATGAACCGAATTCACTCATCAAGACATTCATGTGTGGGAGTTGGATATTGTTGCAGGTGCTTGAGGGTGGGCTAGACAATAGGGAAAAGCAAAACAATATATCTCTGTGAGCTGAGCAGAAAGTTGTTGAGAGCAAAGGCTAACACACTGAGCAGTAAATAAGTAAAGACAGAATATGTCCCAGTACAACAGTGGGACTGACTGATGTTGTTGGGCTGTAGTAGACACAGTTTGTGTGTGTGTGTGTGTGTCCAAACCTCTACCTGTATACAGTCTGCTGACTTCTCTGATTTATCCTCAAAATGTAACAGCTTTGATTTCTCTCCATTATTCCTCTGCAGTCCAGGAGCATTAACAACATCTTTTCACTGTCATTTTCAGGGCATGATTGCCTTCATGCAGTTGAACAGTCACAAGAAAGACAGACATGACTGTACACGTAACATCACAGTTATACACTGTAATATTCTGCTAAACAACTAGAATCATATTTTGATTCATACTTAAAGTGTGCATCTATTGAAAGAAAGCTGTAAAGACAAGACTATAAATGAGTGTATCACATTTATCATGTAGTATGTATTTTATATTTTATACAAATGAGGTGAAATTAAATTCAGTCTGACTGTCTGATTGGCAGTTTTGACATTTCCAAGCTCATTTTACTGTTTGATATCTGACTAAACCTAGTCCAGCTGCATTATGTAGTATGCTATGTGGCATTAGTGATACATAACATACTATGACATAATATAATTTAAATTAGGTGCGACAGTGTGTAAAAAAAATATCAACATTAAAGAAGCAAAATATCTAAAC